AGGTCTTTCCATCTCAGGAGCATGGAAAGATTCCATTCTAATCAGCACAGCCAGTCATTTTCCTTTAAATTATTTCTATTCTCTTCTATGGGGGAGGGGGGAGCCAGTTAAGAAGGATCTCTTCTAAAGAGAAATAAAGGAAAGAGGTGACTCAAAGCCTACTCATGTTCATTCACAAGGTAGCATAATGTGATTGTCCTAATATCAAAGGGAATATTTTGCTAGCTCTGCCCAGGCTGACATATATCTATATATAATTACTTTATATATATAAGATTCTCAAGTCCCACATTCATAATGAAACTCTACACAGCAGAAAGCAAAGCAAAAGAGAGCCCTCCCCCTGCCTCCTCCCCCTTTTTTAAACAATAAAATCCACAAATTCTAATGGGACCCCAAAGAGCTCCTGGGTGTACTGTAGAAGTTTTGTGAATGTTGGAACTACCAGGGCTCCAAACCAAGAACACACTGAGATAAATGAAATATAAACCAATTTTGTGATGTGATCGACAGACTAATGCAAATATCTAGGCACTGAAAGAAAAACACAGGATGGATAAAAGCCCAGCAGTAATGATTGAGACAATAACCTCTGATTAGTGTGCCTACACTGCATGAAATATTAAAGATATAAGGAAGGCAGTGCTGGAGACACAGTCCAGACACAATTATGCTGAATGGGTATATCAACTCCATTGTTTTTACATCTAGAGCTGCACATGAGTACAACACTGTTCCCACTCTAGTAGTGTCACCCTAGCTAAATTAACATTATGTAGAGGCAATAGGGTTGGGAAAACAAAAATGCCAAAGAAACTCATTTGCCCAGATAATATGAAGAAGCATTTCTAATATATTCTTTTATTTTAGAGTGAAGGAAGAAATCTAGTGTGGGTTAGGAAGTTGAAAAGAACTTCACTACTAACAGAGGCTAGCATTACTGTTTATTATATAAGTAAAAATACAATTTTATTCCTCAACATGGCAACAGAGGAAATTCTGACAAAACATTACACATATTCATTTCACCTTTTTCTGTTTTAGAGCTGGATAGAGTTAGAATAAACTGATGTATTTAGAATGAACACACTTCCCATCCTTCATTTAATAAAGTCTATTTAAAATATCGCCTTTATTAATGACTAACAGAACACAGCAGTGTTCATAATTCCTGTAATTCAATTGCCAGGAGTTTGTGCAATAAATCAGGAAAAGGTTAAAATATTGCTCATGCCAGAATAGAACATATCAATCTATTTTATTTGATTACCTTGTGTAATGAGGCTTTCTCAAGGCCAGATTACCTTACTCATTATAATTATGTCATATCATATTTTTGCTTAAAATGGAAAAGATTGAGAAAAGAAAAAACCAGCAATCCAGTTGAAATTATACTAGTTCCCCTTCCCCTCCAACTTCTTTGTACATTTTAGGACATGAGAAATGACATCCTGCTCTCCTTCCAAGAGTAGAGAAAAAAGTAACACTGTTCCCATGAAAAGCAGATTAGGCAAATGGCATCTGGACAATACTCATGTTATTCACCGATTTGAAGATTCAATAAAATATCTATAATATGTTTTAGTTTCAAATCTAAATTCCACTCCCACAAACAAACTGTTAAAAATCACTAGGGCACAAGAATATCCTTCTGTGTGTGGTGACGTTTCCTTCTTAGTGAAGGCAAGCTGAATTCCACCAATAGGGAAGTTCATATTGAAAAAAATTTTTTTATAAAGTCTATAAACAAGATCACAAAAGCATTTTCTGAAGTCTTTCATCCCTTCCAGAATAATCTCTTTTCTGGGCATAAGAGAAATCTCCCTCCCAAAATCCTTTTGGGGATCACTCTTGCCTCTGCCCCTGTTTTGACTCCAGCAGCCCCCAACCGCAATCTGAAGTCTATGCTCCATGGAGTCAGCTGTGTTTATGAGTAAGGCTGCATTTCTGTCTCCTGCTTTTGCTGTCGTGTTCCTCCAAACTGAAATAGGGTCACTCCAACCACTAACAGCCCCACAAATCTCATGCAGGGTATAACACCCTTCAGCCTCCCTCAAATCATAAGGCAGAAGATAGAGTGAAGGTAGTCTCAAGACAAGGAAGCAGAGAAGGGTAAAAGAACAAAGGCCATTAGAAGTGGAGGTAGAACTTTTCTTGTGACTCTACCTTGAAAAATATAAGAACATGACACCCACAAAAATGATTAAAAAATAAAAAGACTGATAATACCATGTATTACCATGTATGCTGCTGGTCTAGGTCTTGCCAATGGAATGTGAGCAAAAATAATGTGAGCCACTTCCAGAATGGACCATAGAAACATCCCACATACAACTCTTACACTCCCCCTGTCTGTCAATTGGATGTTGATGCCCAAGGTGATATTAAAAATCATGTCTGAAGAGTTTGTCCTCCTGGATCACTGAATAACCATGTGGAGCACAGCCCTTTTGCTGACTGGATGTTAAGTGAGCAAGAAATAAACTTCTATTATGTCAAGCTACTGAAATTTTAGGGTTTATTTGTTTCAGCAGTTATCATTATCTTATTCGGAACAGAGGATCGCTCTGTTGTGACTAGAGTGAACTGGACATTGTTTGACTATCTTCTGGCATTAAATAATGCTATGGTTTGTGACTTGCTTATTATATTTAACTTTTAAGTTAAATTCAGTCACTCCAGAAATGATTATGCTCTTAACAATGTTTCTACCAATATGGTAATCATTGAATCCAGAATAAGTCCTTCACAATTGGCTATATCATGTAAAACATGCAGAATATCTTTTTATAGGTAAGACAAAGAGCTATCCTAAAACAAGAACCCTATATTTTCCCTTTCTGGAATTTCTTTTTTCCATTCCTGAAAATACAATACACACCTGCCACCAAATCTCTGTACACATTTGTATGAAGGCAACATGGATACCGTCAAGATAAACCAGCTCTGTTAATGTGATTACATGTCCCTTAGAGATAGATATCCCTGCCAACCTCTTAGAAGTTTAAAATCAAGTCATTTCTGCCTGCATCCATGCTATAGTGCTATAAACTCAACATGCTATAAACCTTCTTTTCCCAGATCTAAGGAATGTCAGTGGTCAATGAAATTTCAAGTCTGATCCTTTACAGTTTAAATCCAATTTTTTTTTTCTTGGAGTACAGTATATTATAGAGAATAAAGGAACTAAAGAACAGTTATTTTAAGTATTGTATTTTCTATGGTGTTCATGATGTACAAATCTTAAAGCTCCTCCACAAAATAATTCAGTTACTCCTCTTGCCCTTAGGATAAAGTCCAAACTTCTAAACATGATTTATAGTTCTCATTCAGGCTCTGGTTTACCTCTCCACTCTATGCTCCCACCACTGTGCATCTGGCATTCTGTGCACAGCCAGTCTCAAGTACTTTCAGTTTCTCCTTTATGCTGTGCTCTCTCTATCTCCAGCTTTACACATACAGTTTCCTCTGCCAAGGAAGAATATTTACCTCCTCCCTGCCAACTCCTTTTCCGTACCTTACTTCTACTCAGTGTTCAGACCTCAGCTTAAATGTCATTTCCTTCATATAGCTTATCCTGACCTCCCTCACCACCCAAGACCAGGTTAGGTGAACTTCCTGTGTGTGCCATCAATACCTTATTACTTCACTATCAGAACTCTTAACACATTATACTGTAATTGAAATTTAGTGGTTGGTCTCCTCTACTAAATTTCAGTCTCCATAAGGCCAGGTCTATCTTTTTTAATGAAGCTAAACCAAATGCCTAACATAGTATATGGAATACAGAAGATGCTCACAAAATATTAACTGAATGTTGCTGAATCAAGAACAACTCTTACCTGGTGTTCTAGTCTACCACAACATACAGATGATAATGTTACTGACCCATCAACCAAAAGACATATGTCTTGAATTATCTTATCCCTTGAGGCTAAAAGAACTGAAGTAGTGAAAGAGTTGGCCAACAGGTATAGGCTTTCCTCTGGACAGTAAATAATCACACTCAGTGACCAAATTTATGACTCTGAACTCATTACTCTCAAGCTCTAAATAACTGAAATAGGGTATTAAACACTCACTCTGTGTAAAAGGATCAAAAATGATATAAACACAATTTACAAAACAAATTAACCCGTCTCTGATTTTGATCATTTAAATCTGTAAGATGTGTTTATTCTAATCTGGAGATGTAGGGAAAACAATCCAGCAGCAGCAGCAACAACAGCAACAACCAGACCCTGCTCCTCTGCCCGAACACCACTGCTCAGCAGCACACCCATTGATTTGGGATTCCTCTTTGAACTAACATTTGATTTGATTCAGAGCATTGCTGAGCTGTAAATTTTGCTCCCACAAAGGTTTTCCTTGACATTAATCTCCTTGTCCCCTACCTACAACATGATCTTGCATTTCTAATCATGACCCTCCACCATCACCTTTTTGCCTCAAGCTTCACTCTTGCCTAATCACAGTCAGTGTCAAGCCACACTGTCCTCCACAGCCCCAGGTCTGAGATCTCTGGTTGCTACCATTCCCACTGCCATATGGAAACACTCCTGGCTAATGCAAGGCTTCAAGACTTGACTTTCAAATTCCGGGGCCTTCAGGAGGATTTGGAACATTGAGGTACGGGGATGGGCTCAGTGGAGAGAGAAAATGTCTACCGCTTGCTATTTCACCAGCAAATACAAGTATAATACAAGTAAAGAGATGTTAAGAAAATGGCAGCATGACAGTTGGGCTTTTTATAAGGCCACAGACCATGATGTAGAAATGGAAAAGCCCTTTGCTCCACACCATAGCATTCTCAGTTCATCTGTGCCTTCTCACTTATAGGGCTAGATGAGGAAGGTTTTTGCAAGGGCTGTTTGCCAGGGTCAGCCTACATCAAAGTATTGTTGTCGATGTTAAATGGGATGATAGAAGGAATTTTTAAAACAAAAACACTAATGCTTTTGGTTTACACATTTCAAATGCTCAGTGATCTGTGGCTGTACCTTGTGTAACTGGTAATATTGGAAGGCACCGATTCCACCTTGTTCCTCCGCAGTCCAGAGCACCAAGCGCAAAGTCCTTTTTGGGCGCAGTCCTAGGAAAAATAATAAAATAAAACAAGTATAATTGATACTTCAGTTGATTTTGGATATAAAAAAAGCTGGCAGAGCCCCTCTGCATTCTGGAAGAAGGAGGGAATCAGAGGCATTCATCATGAGCCAATGTGACTGCCTGATTCAGGGTGTGGCTGACACAGCAAAGGAGCAGCCTCAGGGCTGATCTCCAGGGCAAGTTAGTGGGGGCACGGGTTGTGACAAATGCTGTCTGCAGGATGGGAAGGGAGAGCTTCTAATCACACCCTAAACTGAATATCCTGCCCAGCAGGACCCAATGGATGGCCAAGTTAGATGGGATATTAGATGGTGTCCAGGAGAGGCAGTTAGGAGGTCTTAAGGCAGATAACTGGAAGCCAATGGTCTGTCTCTACTTCAAGATAAAGTGCATAGGGGCTTACTTTTTAGTCTAATTTTACAAGTATAGCTAGGCACCCACGCTGTCCTCAATGACTGCCCACAGCCATTCTCCTCTCCTACTTGGAAATATAAGGTCATTCACTTAAGGTCAATGAAAATTAATTGAATGAAGACAACACATTTTATTCGCCTTGTTACTGCATAAACAACTTGGTGGCAATTATATTGACTTGAGAAATACAAATTTGTATCCTGGAGTTAGAGCCATTTTTAGTGACTATGTCAGCTCTATAAAAGTTAACTACAAGGAAGCTCTGTTTCCCAAACTTAAAAAAATAATAATAATGGTAAAACAATATGTTAAAAGTGCCACTTTGTGACCAAGAATTAAAATGTTTTGATTTCGGACCTAAGGATGTTGTTTCTGAGAACTAACAAAGGCAGAAAAGCATGAAGCTGGGCTTAAATCTTGTTAAGAGGATCCATCCTCCTGCCTCCTCACAGGCAAGCCATAGGGCAGGAATGAAATGCACTTTGAGTGGCTCTGAAACGGATACACTACAAACATCAAGTATCACCACCCAAGTGTTGCCACTGAGGTGCGTGGCCTTTGAGGGAGAAAACTGGTCAGCTGCAGCCCGGATGATGGAGCTCCAGCCTACCTCCTCAAGCACCAACGAGTACTCTCTTTTGATAAGCTCAGCCCTAAGGAGCTTAAAAGGAGCTACATTGTTCACTAAACTAAACTCCCTCTACATTGAGCATTTTAGCATAATTAAAAGACCGTAGGCTTAGGATGCAGGGTGACCAGAGTTCGAATTAAAGCCTAGAAAAGCAATTTCCACATACAATTCTTCAGCAAATCCACTGGCACTTCCCTCTAAGTAGATGTAGAATCTAAGCTCTCACCTCTGTTACCACTCTGGTCATCTCTTGCCTGGATTGCTTCAGTGGCCTCCTAACTGGTCTCCTTGCCTCAGTCCTTGCCCCTCTGCAGGTGATGTTCCATGCTGCAGCTAGAGGATCCTTGTAAAACCTAAGCCAGATCCCGTCATTTCTCTGCTCAATACCTTCAAAAGCTAGGATGTAAGTTTCTGGAAAGCAGGGATTCATGTTTGTTTGTTTTTTTTTAATTCACTGCTATGTCTCCACTACCTGGATTATTTGGCACATAGCATTGTCGTCCTTGTTAGCTGCCCTCTAATTGGTCCCTGACTCATGGTGATCCCAAGCATAATGGCATTGAACAATTGTGATCTATAGGGTTTTCAGTGACTGATTTTTTTAAAGTAGATCACTAGGCCTTTCTTTCTAGTCTGTCTTGATCTGGAAGCTCTGCTGAAACCTGTTCAGCATCATAGCAACACATAAGCCTCCACTGACAGATGGGTGGTGGTTGTGGTGCATTGGCCAGGAATCCGGAATCGAACTAGTGTCTCCCGCATGGAAGGAGAAAATTCTACCACTGAACCACCACTGCCCTCATTTGGCACATAGTAGGTGCTCAGTAGTTATGTACTGAATGAGTGAATGAAAATCTTGGTGTCATACCCAGAATAAAATTCAAGGCCCTTCACTACCTCCCCAGCCTCATCTCCTAAAACTCTTCTTCTAACTCACCCCCAGGCAAGGTGTTATAGTTGAAAAGGCAGACAGACCTGGTGAAGCCTGCCATTATTAGCCCCTAGCTGTGTAATCACTAAACTTCAACACCTGAAAAGCGGAGAAAACGATGCCTATTCCATAACTATTTCATGGGGTGGCTGTGAGGATGATATAATGTATGTAAAACACCTCTATGCCTGGCATGTAATAATAAATGAACTATCCAACTACATAAAGGATATCCAGGCACAGAGCATATACTTTGACCCCCAGAGAGAAGAGGAATTTCTTACAAAGGCATTTGAGTGCTTGGTAAAGAAGAATCCTGGTGTACCACTGCCCTCTCCGCAGAATTAAACCACCTGCTCACATGCACAGCACAAACTTTACAAACTGTTGACTCAGAATGAAATTTAATCAGTGTGGCTTAAGATTACAATCTTTGGTTTCTCTAAAAGAAATGTGCTTAGAGTCAATTTAAATCAAATGGCACTTTGCTTCTAACATAGCAAAAAATAACAAAGGATAAAGTACTATCGCTTACATGCTACAAATGAAAATTCTAAACATTTTTAAATCCATAAGAAAGGGAAAAATGCTTTCTTATTAAATATATCTGCACCTATGGGCAAAATGGAACCAAATTATTAAAATGATGGAATTCTCTAAATATGGATAATTGGACAGTTAGCACAGGCTAGAGAAAATTCCCTTTTTTTTTTTTTTTTGAAAGCAAAAGCCTTGAATATCCCTATAGATTTGGTGTTCCACTTGAAAGTCATTATTGCACAGGATTAGTGTCCTTCACTTTTCAAATCAACCAGATGGCCAATGATGTCATGTTAAGATAATAAAGAAGTAATCAGTTTGAAGTGAGAAATGCTAAGGCCTCAAAGCCATGACAGCATAGCTGTTGGTGTATAGCTGGCCCTGAAAAGACAAACAGAGCCTCCTTCAAGCCCCTGAGAAGCTCAGTACATGTCAGCGTGGACCACCAGCACCTGCAAAGTAATCAATGCCAAGGGCCTGATAGAAGCACTAGGAACCAGTGGTTTAGCAAATACTGGACTTTTCTCTAAAGTCTCCCCACTCTGATGTACTCATTGTCCCTGAACCTAAGTGGAATGTATGGGATTTCATTCACTGACTAGACCCTGAACCTAGTGTGGAGTTCAGGCCCCTAGGCCACCTAAGTCCATAGACTGGCCATGGTGTCTGAACAAGCTATGTTTGATTCCTGTCTCTGCTATTTCCTAGCTCTGTGACTTTGGATTAGTTGCCTAAACTCTCTGAGCCTCAGTTTCCTTATCTATACACTAACGAAAATAATAATTGCCTCATAGGATTATTAAGAAAATTGAGACAAGGCAAATATATATCAAGAACACCTTTGTTAATATAGAATGGGTATATCCAGCCAAGGGAAAAAATACACACTTCACCTACCTATAGAAAAACACCTAACCTCCTTCTGTATGAAATGTTCCCTCCATCCCAACATGAAACATATCCAAATCCTAACAAATAGACAGGATTCTTACTTTTAAAGTGAGAGTCAATCAGAGTTTTTATTTTCTGAGTGAAATAAAAAAAAAAAAGATAATAAATTTGAAACCGAGTAATGTCATTTAAGAATGACTATATTTATCATTTTTAAATGACAGAATTTGTTATACATTTCAAACACAACCTAATTTCAAAAGCCAAGAATTTCAGACTTAAAAAAATAACAATAACAATAGTAAGAAAACAAAGTGATATGAGGTCAAATGCAGGGGATTCATCTTGTAGTCAAATTGGGGTAAACGAGCAGCTCAGTCATAACCCTCCTTCCAACTCTGCCCTGGCTCAGTGGCCTACAGCACTAGCCCAAACAAGCCAGTGAAAGAAAGTCCTAGAATTGGAGGTGAATGCAGGACCCTGGTATTAGTTGGAAAGAAGTCAGACTTCACTGAGGTTTTGTCAGAGGATAAGTAATTGATTCTCTCATAGATGTATAGAAATGAGCCAGAGATTCCCTATTGTTGGCAGTCTGAATCCACCCACAGGTGCCTCCGAGGAAAGGCCTGGGGATCTGCTTCCGAAAGATCATAGCCATTGAAAACCCTATGAAGTGCAGTTTCTTCTCTGAAATACATGGGCTCACCATGAGTCGGAATTCACTCAACTGCAACTGGTTTTTGTTTGTTTGTTTGTTTTTTGGTATATTTTCATCTCACTGAGAACAGTAATAATGCTATTGGGAAAACAGCGCCTATGAGAAAAGGTGAAAAAACTCGGACTTTTTTCCCCCATTACTATCAAATTGAAAGAAGAGAAGTCTGGGAGGTGACTATCATTAAGCAGGTAAATTGAAAAGGTCAGTTCACTGTCTTACATTTGCACCAAGAGTGAGGCAAAGCAAAATAAACTTGACTTTCAGCAGAACAACTCAGATTAATCCAACCTTAGGATAGCTTTCCCAGATCATGAATTCTAAAGAACACTAAGTGTTAACAATGTGTATTGACCCAAATATCCATTTACCCTCAGTTTCATCCCTCCTAGAACTATGTATAAATACTATTCTTCCTTCTGTTACCTGAGTAGGCAGAAAAAAAACAACTTTCTCTTACAGTAAACATACTCACTTCTCCACATAAATATAAAAACAAAAAAAACCCATTGCCGTCAAGTCAATTCTGACTCATAGCGACCCTATAGGACAGAGTAGAACTACTCCATAGGGTTTCCAAGGAGCAGCTGGTGGATTTGAACTGCCAACCTTTTGGTTAGCAGCCAAGCTCTTAATCACTGTGCCACCAGGGCTCCCTATAAATATACTAGTTCATAAATATACTTATTTTCCAAGCCTTCTTTAATAACAGTTCAAAAAAGGATGCTCACACTTAAAGACAATTCTACTCCTGCAACGAACTTGGCTAATACAAGAAGTATAGTATATGAGTTACAGAAATAAATAATGGCATGTTAGCATATAAATTGAATGTGAAGAGGAAGTAAAGCATAGTGGTTA